GCCCCTGCTGCACTGCCTCCCTCGCTGTGGAGGCCTTGATCTGCACCCCCCCCACACCCCTTCCGTCCCCTTCCACCACAAGAGACTTACCAGCTGTACGCAGCTCTCCAAGCTGCGGGGCTGCACTCCTTGCTGCCTGCATGCTATGCTGTGGCTTTGTGCATGCACGGGGCATTTATCGGCCACATTAGGCCGATTCCCGATACAGTCAGTTTTCTTTATATCTGTGCTGAATCCGATATCAGACCAATATATTGGTGCACCTCTAGCCAATACTGATCCAATTGCTGATATGCAGCTTCGCAGCTTGGAGAGCAGCATCTGTTGGGGGGGAAGGGATATGTGGGAGGGAAGGGGCGTGGGGGTGGCTGTTAGAGGCCCCCACGTAAAGGGAAGGAGTGGGGCTGGGGGGAAGGCCAGGCACAGCACAGCCAGGGCGGGCCATGGGATGGAGCTGTGGCATGGCTGGTCGGGGGCGTGACTTGTCAGGAGACAGTGGTTTGTCGGGGGACAGTGCAAGGGGGTGAGGAGGGGGGCAAGGGAGCTCACACCATTGCGCGAACCCCAAGGGAGGCATGCAGGGGGCAAATACCCCCTGGATCTGTGCACAGGGTTAGGGTGACCTGCTGTTGCACACTCAGGGCTGTCCTGGGCTCTTCCTGACGGGCTGGGTCAGAACTGCGCTTGAGTTGGTGGGGTGAGAGGTGGCAGCGCTTGGAGGGGGGCTGCGGTGAATTGTGGGGTTGCTACATGCCCCACCATAGGCCCCTTCCCAGCACCACTGCCACCCTCCCCACCCCACCCCACCCAGCCAAAGTGCAGCCCCAGCTCAGTCCTTGCTGGGAAGAGCTCAGTAAAGCCCTGAGCGGGCAGCGCACCCTCACCCAGCACACAGATTTCAGGGGCACATGCCCTACCATCCAACAGGATGAGCTGTGCCGTAGCTCCATCCTGCATCCTGGTTCAGCTGTGCATGCCTGCCCTAGCTCCACTCCTCACCGTGGGGGCTTCAGACAGCGCCCCCCCCCCCCCCCCCCCCCCAACGGACTTACCAGCTGGATGCTGCTTCCAAAGTTCCCAGCTGTGCTCCTGGCCATGTGCATGCTTTCTCTGTGCCCATGTACGGCAGCATTATTGGCCACATCAGCCAAGAAACCCGATTGCCGATAATATCAGTTTTCCTTTTATGGGTTCCAATACAATTTGAACTGATGTATCACTGCACCTCTGCTTTCAATTCTGACTTCATACTTGTTCCAGCATCCTTTTGTTTGCAACTAAGCTTGAATCAGATGGTGTCCTTGGTAGCTGTTAGAGCAGTTTGGTCAGTTTTTTTCCCAGCGCCACTTAAGAAGGCAATTGCTTGCACCAAGGAATCTGGGCAATCACACTAGCTAGAATTTTTTAGTTTTCATGTGACTGGTTGCTCAGTAAAATGTATTGCAGTGATCACACAGAATATGTTGTATAATTTCACACCATAATGCTTGATGGCATCAATTATGGGTGGTTTTATGGGATTTTTTTTAAAATTATAACTAATTTTCTAGTTCTTCACTTTTTGCAGTTCTGTCTAGGCTTCAGTGTGCATCTCAAAGACTGAGCAAATTAAACCCTTGTGGTGAAACCAGTAGCTATTATTCTGCCATATAGTTCTGAAATAGCGATTGATATGTGTACTGAATTAGTAGTAGTAAATAATTTGAGGGGGCAAATGCACCTCTTTTAAATCTTGCTTTCTATGCTCTCACTTTAGAAGAAGCTGTACTCTCTCAAAGTTGCTGCTAAAGTTCAAGCTTCTGCCACCAAAGAGCAAGCAAAATTGCATCTACAGCCTCAGGATCTTGAGGTCAG